CACACACACACACACACACACACACACACACATACACACACACACACGCACGCACACACACAAACACAAACACACACACACAAACACACACACACAAACACAGACACACACGCACACGCACACGCACACGCACACACACGCACACCCACACAGAGACAGCATTGATGTATTCCTGTCGAGCTTCAAGAACATGACAACAGCTAAGAGCAGCAGCAGCGACAGCGGAGAAAGAGCGAATTTCAAAAGATTAGCAGATCTGGAACAGGCCTGAAACGCTGGGGCTACGGCACCCTGCATCTCCTGCGATCTCTCTCATACGGCAATAACGAGTAAGACGTAAGCCATTACGAAACTCAGGAGATGAAGAAAGGTGATGAGAAGAGAGAGGGATGGTGACTTCAGACGTGGCTTTGCGTCGGAGCATACATGCAGTTGGGACCGGTTAATCTCCAGCTCGAACAGGCGGCCGTCCGTATATCCGACGTACAGAAACAGCCGACCTTCAGTTTCCTGAAGGGCCAGCGTTCTAAGGACCGGGTCGGAGCCCGAGCTGTTGTACGCGGGTTCCCCGTAGCGCACCACAGCCTCCACGCTCCATGCCGTACCGCATGGCCTTTTCGTCTTCACCCAGACAATACCATCGGTAGACGCATAATCAACTTGACGTATGAAGAAAAGATTGCAGCCGTCCGATGTCGCTGCGATACCATAAGGCGACGCCCACGTCGTCATCCAATCAAGAGGCTTAGTCTCGATGCCACTGCCCAGCACACGAGTGAGTCTGGAGGTCGAGGGATCGAGTCCAAACACCTCGGATCTATCCAGAAGGTACATGCACCTTCCGCTAGGCGTGACGCTGTGAGGGCTGAAGTAAACCATGCCACTAAAATAGCTTTTCTTTGGATCAGGCGGGCTGCCAAGTCGGTGTACGATGTGAAAAGGGTACCCTTCCCGCTCAGCACCGTCGGACTTAACCGGGTAACCAGATTCGTCCACGTCAGCAGATACGATCCGGTCCTGTTTTATTCCGCCGCCGCCGGTGACGTACTCGCTAGGTACGGTGAAGCCCTCATCGACGAGGAGGCGTGTCTTATTAGGATCCAAAGCCATCGCATCAACTGAAGTCACCTCCACGTCACCCGTCAGAGACATGATGAGCGATCGACTGCCGTTGATCGTTGATAGCGACGTAAGTACTGGCGGCGTTGGGTACATGGATCCGCGGTATCCGGACGAGCCCAAGACCAGGTGCGTGCCAGTCTTGGCGATGTCCATGCCGTAGATTGTAGCCATCAACGACATGTTCTTGTCTTCCTGGTACACAATGGGAGTCGAGACTCTCTCCCCGTCCGTACTGTCCGCCGGCCACCAGTAGCTTAACACTGCATCGTCTGCTAGAGGCTTCCTCCCCTGCCTCACAGGCAGCAGATCTGCCTGTCGCACTGACATCTCTCTAAAGGTAACTGTCAAATTGGAATACTCTACCATCACACTGTTTTCTCCGCTTCCTTGTCGTTCATAAGTAACGTTGTGCATGGTGCAGCTCTGCTCGAGGATAGCGAAAAGTCGCGTGCTGTTGGGGAGAAACACTACATTTCTATAAAACGAATCGCAGCAATAACCCCATCCTGAGGATTCATCGGGCGTGAACGGGGACGGGGTGGCATTGAAGGGCGCCTCGGGTGTGTGCACGAGCACGGGTCTCGGCGTCCCAGCTGTGCCGTTGACGTCATCAGCAAACAAATCCTGCTTGAAAAGCGCGATGGACGGCGACAAATTTGCTGAAGCGAGCGACCGGCGGTCGGGGGGACGGTCGTCGTCATCGTCAAGATTTCCTGGAGCGATCGACCGGTCGTCGGCATAACTGTGATGCATCTGGGCGCCAGCAGGCGAGCCTCCGCTACTGCCGGAGAAAGCAGGGGAAGTCGGAAACGAGGAAAGGGAATCGCCCATAGCCATAGCAGCAGACGGGAAACGATGACGCTCAGGTATTTTCTGACCGACAATGACGAAGACGACAATGAAACTGCAGAGTGTGGACAGGAAGACCAGCCGCCGCCATGCCCACAGGGACAGTGCACACAAAGAGCCACACAGCGTCCCCCAGCAAACAGAGACCGCCATATCTATCGACCTCGTTCTCGAACGGTCCAGCCTTTATTGCGCTTTCGTTTCAGATCGGTAGACTCCCGGTAGACACAAACACACAAACACACAATCACACTAACAAACCACTTCGACCTCCCGCTAGTCACAACACACACACACACACACACACACCACTCCCCCCCCTCCTCCCCAAAGGACAGAAAGCTATGATCTTTGTTACATGCTGCCACTGCACACGGGCCCCATTTGAGGGGCCCGACGGTTGCTAAGGGGCCCCCAGGCCGCGTACCATACAGCAAGCGCCCTGGAGGCCCACAGCGGCCCTCCAGGCCCTAGGTAGCACACTAGTTAGATAGGTTTAGTTTTACTTACCTTTTTGTGTGTGTGTGGTGTCTTATTTTTGTCTGTTCAGATGCCCTTTCGGACTTGCAGCCCCAAGGCAGGACCTTGGGACTGGGTACACCGGAGGCAGGCCCGAAACGAGGCCAGGCGCATTTTGGCGCCAGACCGGTAGGTGCAGACATCGTTTCGGTCCTGCAGGTCCCAAGGCGACGCCTTGGGCTAGGTGCACAGGAACGGGGCCGTTTTTAGGCCAGGCGCATTTCTGCACCTTGCTGCATCAGCAGCATGGTCTGGACGTCCGGTAGGGACCCAGACCAGCTGGGCCATGTTCTCAGGCCAGCATCAGGTAGGCCCAGCCCGCCCAGTGCTACGAATAGCTGGGCAGTGGCTGGGCAAGGACAGTTCGAGTAGCTCACTTCTGGAGCAACACGCTGCTGGTTGGAGGTAGCGTTATTCTGCGCTGCACTACGTGCAAGCGGCAAGCTTACCCGGCGCCATAGCCGGGCTCCACGCGGTGCCTGCACACGACGACGACCACAGTCAGTACGGTGACAGCTACCGGCAGGTGAGACAGCAAGGAGGACGTCATCTTCTTCTTCTTCCTCCTCCATCTCTCTCTCTCTCCCTCCTTCTTCTTCCTCCTTCCTCCTCCATCGTATCTTCTTCTTCACATACGAGAGTGAGAGAGGTCATTGGTAGGTGATACAGGCAGAGGTTATGCTGGGCACGTTACCCAGGATCTGATTGGACATTTCTGGGACAGACATTGATTGGACACTCGGCAAGGGACTAGTTTTGGGACTTCGCTATCACGATCTTGGTCTACTCCCTCGCCTACTTCTCCTTCGTCTCGTCCCTTCCCCCCATCTCTCATTCGTGGTATCTCCCCATGTATGTGTGTGAAGGAGGGACCTTCCTCCTGTGATTGCGGTCCCTCCTCCCCTCTCACATGTGCGATGTATGATGGATGTCGGGTCAGTCCAGATTAGATCAGATCTTCTCTTTAAGTCTTCCACTGTGCCACTTTGTGCCATCTTGAATGTATCGGAATGTACATTGCTTGTTGATGCTACGCTGACCTTGCATTGTCCATTTCAGTCCTTTTCATCACATTGAGGATCCTTGGCTCCCTACGCATTGTCCCATTGGGCATGCGTCAGTTTGGTATCGGAGCCCGGCTTCTGAATCAGGACAACCTGATCTAACACAAGCGCGGGGACAATAAAGATCGATTGATTGATTGATTGATTGACTGATTAGGACACACTAATTAGTCCCCAAAATCGCGGATTTTTGACCTAACTGCCGAAATCGAAATTTTGTTTTCGTTTCTTGGATTTCATTTATTTACGTTATTCCTGTTTTATCGCAAATAGCGCAGCACCGGAAATTTTCGATTTTTATTTTTTTGCTGAAATTCGAAATTTGCGGCTGAGAAATCCAGAATACTTTTTTACAAAGTTTCGATTGTATTTCTTTTTGTAAACTTCCCGTTACTTCGAAATTCCGATATTTTTTTTTTGGACCTGCTGAAGTTCACTTCGATTTTGTTGTTTCAAAACCCTCCGCGTTCTTTTTTTTGTCTCACGCATTCAGGGGGGGTAACGGAAATTTCAAAATTTGACCATTACTTCAAGTTTCAGAAAATATTTTTTTACGGGAAATTCCTCTGGCAGTCATTTCTTTTCAAACTGTGCATGCTCTCACCCGGGAAATTCCGAATTGTTTTATGTTTCGGAATTCTCCGAACTTGCAGAATTTTTTAATTTTTCGCAATTCAGTTACTTTGATAATGTCCATTCGTTATCATTTTTTTTTCTTTCATTAGCAGTCTGAAATTCAATGTTTTTTTCAAAATACCTGTTGTGGGGAAACATAGGAGACCTACCGAACTTGCAATCAAGAAATTTTATTAATTAATAATTATTTAATATTATTTTTTATTCTCTCGAAATTTTCGCGAAGTTCTACCTTTTCATTCTTTTATTAGTGGCTCCTTATCTCGGCGATCCACTCGATTCCCCCACTCCCCACCTCTCTCTCCCAACTCCTTCTCCTCTTCTTCTTGCTCAACTGCCCATCAGTTCTGGCTACAGCCTTGGTAAGTCCCTACTTTTGCAGGCCACGTCAGCTACCCGCGGCACATGACCCTATTCACTCGTTCACAGACAGCAGAGATGGACCAGAAATCAGGCGAGTCTGACGAGGCCTATGAGGCACGGTTGGCGGCCATCATGGCCGAAAGCAAGCAATGGGCAGAAGCATCAGCAGCAGCACGGAAGAAGAGGGAGGCAGAGGCAGAGAGGCTGCGTCTGCTGGCCGAAGAACAACGGCAGAAGCACGCAGCAGCAGCAGCAAAGGCCGCCGATGAAGAACGCGTACGGCGGCGGAAGATTCTCTTCAAAGCGGAAACTGCGCTACACGCACAGGCCAGGGACTGGCAGAAGGAGGCCGAGAATGGGAACGCCGTTGACTACGGGAACAAGATTTCTCTCGTGCTCAACCGCGTCACGGACCTCCTCGTTATGATTAAAGGCCTAGAATGGGAACGTCGCTGACCATGGGAACAAAATTTCTCTCTTGCTCAACTGCGTCAGACCTCCTCGCTACTTGCATTGCACATCAGGAGGACATTCACTCTCTCGACCACGCCAATCATGCGCTGACTAGGCACATACAGCAGCTGGAGCAGCGACCCGTCGCCACCTCCAGCGCCAGCCCCTCCGACCTCGCCGACCGCGTCAACGTCTTGGAGATAGACGTGGGAACGCTCAAGACCGGGGCACAACGGCTGGAACAACAGGTTTGTGCAGCAGCCAGCCCTAGCACATCGCCACACGATAGCATTCCCAAATTTGAGGGGCTCCCGATCTTCTGTGATGCATCAAAGACGGACCCTATACCTTGGTGGCGACAGTTCGAATTAAAGTTGGACATCCACCTGTTCGTCGACAAGAACTGGCACGCATACTTGTACTCCCGGTCATGAGGTGCGTGTCAAGCATGGCTGGACAGCATGTTGTCCGCACATGCATGCACAGTCTCCGAGTTAGATAACTTCATCACCTGGGCCGATCTCACGGCGGCATGGAAGAAGCATTTCCAAGTGGAACTGCCCGAGCATCACGCGATGGACAAGCTGCTGACATTCTCACAGAACAGCATGCCAAGCGGAGACTAGATATCTGAGTTCCAACGCCTGGCAAGCACGCCAAAGCTGCCGCTGAACTTCGACGGCATCAAGCTCTACTTCATCAAAAGGTCGTGCCTGGCGTTGCAAAATGCATTAACTCAAGTCACCGAGAACCTCAACACAAGTGAGGAACTCTTCAACAAGGCCGCGCAGATCATTGTGACGAACTTGGAAGCCAAGAACATTGGTCGTTTGTGGACTGCCAGCCAGGGCGCGTATCAGCATTGGCCGAAAGTGACCGTGGTCACGACGGCAACGCCAAGCGACCCTTCAACTTCAAACGAGGCTGCCTCTTCTGACGAGGGAGACAGGTTAGCAGCTGCCCAGAATGGTGGCCGCCCCGCCAAAGGACGAGGACGCGGCAAAACGAAGACAAACACCACTTCTTCCGGGCCTGGACAAGCAGCTCCAGCTCAAGAAACTTGGACAGCTTATGGTCTTACGGAGCGCGGGTATCGCGTCCGCACCAAGTACCGCTACTGTTTGTGGTGCAAAAGCTCAGCACTGACAGCACATGATACAGCGAGCTGCCCCACGAAAGCCAAGGGCACTGCCCAGTCGGGAAAGTAAGCACCACCGAGAATGATGCGACAACAACCGGTTGTCGTACGGGTAACCTCCCTCGGTTCCAGGGCACATACATACGTCGCAAGTCCTCCCATTCTTCATTCTTTCGAGGACTATGTTGCCCGGCTCGTACCTTCGCTGAATTACGAGCCCAAGGACAGGATGTATGTGCGGTTTCTTCTCTGTTTGGAAGCAGCGGCATTGAATCGTCTTCAAGTGGACCTTCACGGGATTCGGCGCGCGCGTTCAACATAAAGGACTTGGACCCGTTGATGCCCGAGGGTTTTTCATGGCTCCCTCTCCCTTCCACTGGCTGCTTACCGGAACCGCAATGCGCAACACTCAACGCTCATCTACATACATACTTGGCCTTCTATGCACGACCTACTTCGTCGACGGATGACGAAGTCGCTCTGGGGGACATCCTTGCATATGTTGCCAAGGTGGCCCGCGAGTTTTGCACGCAGCGGTACGATGACAACAACGCACCGCTCCTTTATGTCCGCATCCAAGTTGGGCAAGCGTCCTGCAACGTTTTGTTGGATAGCGGCCCAACTCGCAACTTCATTAGCCAGTCCTTTGTCCAAAGGGCTGGCCTTGGCCCACAAGTTCGAAGGAAGGCACACCCTACGGCGATCAAGTTGGCGGACGGTAGGACGCAGCAACTCCTTGACCGCTACATCGGAGCCGTCACGGTACCGGTCTATGTCGCACATCATGCATGCGAACCGGTGACGTTTGATGTCTTGAACACGGACTTCGACATCATCTTGGGCATACCTTGGCTTGCAAGTGCGGATCATACGATCAACTTCCATCGGCGAACACTTACGGTTCGCGACGCCTTGGGCACCGAAGTACCATGTACCATTCCTCCTCCGCACCATTCGATCCGGTGCCAAGTTATGAAGGCAAAGTCATTCCGGGCTACTTGTGCTTATGA